AAAATTTTTTTGTAAAGACAAGGTCTCTCTATGCTGCCGGTCTTGAACTCTAAGACTCAAGTAATCCTCCCACCTCAATCTCCCAAAGTGCTGTGATTACAGGCGTGAGTCACTGTGCCTGGCCAAGTTAAGTCTTTTTAATGGTTAGTGTTATAGATTCCAATGCAGTAAGAATTCTGGTACAAAAAAGGCACTTGTGTGTGTGTGTATATATGTGTGTGTATGTTTATATATATATACACATATATATATTTAAATTCTGAATTGCAAACTTAGAATTTTCAAGAACAGCACAAAGAACTTCTTCCTATATACCTTTCACCCAGATTCACAAATTGTTAGCATTTTGTTTCATTTTGCTTTATCATTCTCTTTTACACTCTATGTTCCCTAAACTTTTTGAAAGCAAGTCACAGAGACATTCTTTCACCCCTTAACACTTCAAGATATACTACCTAAGCACAAAGACACATCACAAAATAATTATCAAAATCAGGAAATCTAGCACAGTAAAATTCAATTACCTAATCAACAGACTTCAAATGTTGCCAATTCTCTCAATTAAAAAGTCCTTTTCAGCAATTTCTGTTTTTCTGGTCCAGGATTCCAATCTAAGCTCACACTATGCAGTTTGTTTTCATGACTCTTTAGTATCCTAATCTGAAAAAGTTTCTCAGCCTTTGCCTTATAGGACACTAACACTTTTGTAAACGTCAAGTCAGCTGTTTCACAGAATGTCCATCAACTGGGGCTTGATTGATATTTTATCCTTCTCAGTGCATCACACTAGGAAGTACAGCATATCAGTAGGTTCCATTACTAGTAGTATTAAATTTGATAAGGGGTAAGAGGTGTTTCTTGGTAAGGGGTGTTTCTCCACTGTAATGTTTATTTCTCATTTTGTGATTAATAATTTATGGAGAGAAACTTCTAGACCCTGTAAATGTCCTATTCCTCATAAAACTGTCACTCAATAGTTTTAGCATCCACTAATGACTGTTGCTTGAATCACTTATCACCATGATAGATACAAGATGATTTTTATAACTCATTTGTGCAAATGTATTAGTTGATATTCTATGGTAAGCAGCTTTTCTTTACATTCTACATTATCTACTTGTTTATTAAGAGTACAGATTCTAGCCGGGCTCGGTGGCTCAGCCTGTAATCCCGTGCCTTTGGGAGGCTGAGGTGAGTGGATTACCTGAGCCCGCGGGTTCGAGACCTGCCCGGGCAGCAAGACCTCATCTCTACAATAAATCAAAAAATCAGCCGGGCATGGTAGCGCATGCCTGTAATTCCAGCTACTCGGAAGGCTGAGGGGGAAGGATCGCCAGAGCCCAACAGGTCAAGGCTGCGGAGGCCAGGAGCGGCCATTGCACTCCAGTCTGGGCGACGGAGTGAGACTCCAACTCAAAAAAAAAAAAAAGAGTACAGATTCTTCTTTAATTCAACAGACTTATCATCTAGTTTATTTTGATATTCAATAGTGCCAAAATGATAAGTGGGAGCTCCTTCAAGCTGATTCACATGTCCTTTAACATGTACTGCCACCTGTGTGAACAAGTCCTTGGCTTTCTGGCACAGATGTTTCACTCTGTACTTTCCCTATACCACTACTGAAATCAGTCATTCCTTTCAGCAGAAGATGGTTTTGTGGAAACAAGATCTGGTCTCAAGATATGCTCACTGCTAATGACATATCACTACTTCTATGCCCTTATGGCAGCAATAGGAGATAAATGTTTATAAGTTATATTTTTAAAAATTACATCCAACTTAAGAAAAACAATACATTTTCCACTATAGCATTTGGACAACACATACTTAATGGGACATCCACACAAAAAACTGTATGGTGAAATGCTCTTAACTACTGGTTAATTTCTCCTTTTAAACTTTATACAAATTCTTCTACTACACAGTAGGGCTAGTCATGTAAATCTCCCAATTTGATGAAAACCAAGCACACATAATCACTTCAGGTTTACAAGTCAAAGCTAGAAGAACATATTTTCTAATGGTAAGAGTAAAGAGGATTTAACAAAGCCCAAGAATAATTAATGTTTGAAAAATAAGGCCAGGCACAGTGGCTCATGCCTGTAATCCAAGCATTTTGGATTACAGGAGGACTGCTTGAGCCCTGGAGTTCAAGACCAGCCTAGGAAAATAGTGAGCCCTCATCTCCACAAAAACTAAAATTAGCCCAGCATGATGGCACGTGCCTGTAGTCCCAGCTATTTGGGAGGCTGAAGCAGAAGTATCGCCTGAGCCCAGGAGGTCGAGGCGGCAGTGAGCTCTGACTATGCTATTGCACTCCAGCCTGGGTGACAGTGAGATTCTGACTCAAAAAAAAAGTGAATACAGAGAACTTTAAGCCATAAACTGAATCAGCAAATTGATCAGAGGAGAGAAATTAATTTAAGAAGAGAAAAATTAAATGAATTAATTTAAAAATACTAGGGACTCTGCAACCTCTGCAATCCCCCTACTGGGAATATACCCTTGAAGAACTCAAATCACTCTATCAAAAAGATACCTGCACACGAATGTTTATCGCAGCATTGTTCACAATAGCAAGAACATAGAACCAACCATGCTGTTCATCAAAAGAGGACTGGATTAAAAAAATGTGGTACATATACATGATAGAATACTACGCAGCCATAAAAATGAACAAAATCATGAATTTTGCAGCAACCTGGATGGAGTTAGAGTCCATAATACTGAGTGATCTCTCACAGAAACAAAGATCTGAGTATCACATGTTCTCACTCATATAGTGGACCTTGAACATCTACCATAATACTTTAAAAAAAAAAGGACTGACAGTGGTGGGAAACTATGGGGGAGGTAGGGAGGGGAAGGGAGGTGGGACTAACGGTAGTCAATATCTGTCTGGGGATGGGGAGACATCCCTTATTAACAAGGGTGCCTGAATGATGCACATTTGTATACCTAACCCTTAACTGTACCCCACAATTTTATAATAAAAAATATGTTTAATTAAAAAATAAATAAATAAATAAAATAAAATAAATAAATACTAGGGCCTTTACCCTCCTTCACCCCCATAATAACTACTGGAATTCTCCAAGGTTGTAGGAATCCTTGAAAAACAATTATTTGGTTGGGTTCAGTGGCTCAGCCTGTAATCCCAGCACTCTGGGAGGCCAAGACGAGTGGACTGCCTGAGCTCGCGGGTTCGAGACCCGCCTAGGCAACTTGGTGAGATCTCGTCTCTTCAATAAATCAAAAACTAGTGAGGTGTGGTAGCACGTGCCTGTAGTTCCAGCTACCTGGAAGGCTGAGGTGGAAGGATGGCCGGAGCCCAGCAGGTTGAAGCTGCGGTGGCTGGGAGAGGCCACTGCACTCCAGTCTGGGCGACAGAGTGAGACTCCAACTCAAAAAAAAGAAAAAAGAAAAATAATTATTCTACAATTTCTACCCAACAAATAGAGGTAGTTGGATCAGTAATTTCCTGCGAGAAAAAAGAAAGTGGGCTATTCATATGGACTTATGTGAATGCTTGGAGGCACATCTGATCCAGACAGGCTGATAATAAGCGAGTCAAGTAGAACAGAATAGACTCTAAGGGCTTTTTGTTTGTTTTCCTAAATCTATGCCTCAGACTATTAAATCTTATCACAGGCTCACTTAAATAATCATTTACCTAACCAGTATTTATTAAATATCTACTTTATTACCAGAGCCAAGCTAGGTGTTCCCCCAAATATACCTCCTCTCTGGCATTACCAAAAATCCTTCAATCCCTCTTTTTACTTACTCTATCACCTCTTCTACTTCACTCCACCTTGCTCCCTACCCTATGCAGACCTTACAGTATAGTCTATTATTTCAGCCATCCTCTTGGTGGAATCCTCAGGATACTTCTGCATGACAAGAGTCAACATTATGCTTTTTTGGCAGAACTCTTGCCCTCAGGTATACTACTCTGTAAACTGCCAATATAAAAGGTTGGCCTAAGAATTCCCCATAAACAGATGTCTGAAGCTCTCACACCACTACACTCTCCTATCTTCGATCCCTTTCCTTCAGTCTACAAAAGTGCTCAAGTATCCTGCATGTAAAAAAATAACTTCATCTTTTTAAAAGTCCAAGCTTCTAAAAGAAAAATTTTTCCTCATTTATTCAACTCACTACGATCTAGTTGTTATCCTGGAACTTTTCTCTCTTCCTCATTCAAAGAAGTTATTAATTCATGCTTATACTTTCCTGTATTCCTCTATTATTCCTCATCATCTTCTTGCCTCAACTGCTCCCTCTTCTCACCAGTCTCTCTACATACTCCTGTTAGAGTAGTCTTTATAAAACCCAAAACAAATCACATTTCTCCTATGCTTAAAACAAATCTATGATTTCTCAGTGCCTAACAATGAAAACTCTCTTATCATCACCAGGAAATGGAAGAAAATTAAAAATAAAATAAAAATACTAAAACTCAAGTCTTCATCATGAAGTAAAGTCGTCTCTGATCTGACCCTTGTCCACCTATTGTTGAAAGCTTCAGCTCCCCCAAGCCGCTCTCATCTTCATGAATGATACATAATCTCAGAATCATGCTGTAGACTACAAATGTCCTGTGTTCACATTGCTCCAGCCTCTGGAATTCCTGTACTCCTCTCCTGACTCAGTTTACTCTTTATTTATCTGTCAAGATTTAGCTCAAATATCTCCTTCTCTCTTAAGCCTTCCTGACCTACATGAGTAGAGTCTGTCAGTCCTTTTGTGACACCATTTCATCTTTATTTATCTCTATTATAGCATATCACACTTTAATTGTTAACGTCTGTCTTCCTTTCTAAACTGAGCTCCCTAAAGTCAATAGTCACTTTTTATCCAACACTATATTCTCCATGCCTGAAACTCCACAAAGGTGCTCAATAAATACTGTTGTATAAATGAACTTAAAAGGATGCAGAATGAGATTATAATTTCATACAAATAACAAAAACCTGAATGTGAAAACACATCCTTACCTGGTAACTAACTGCTTTCTTTCCATCACTTCTAGTTTGAGGTAAGGTCAAAGGTCCAGATATTACCCAAACATCTTCAAACCTCTCTGTCAGTTCTCGACAATACATTTCTATTCTGAAAAGCAAAGCAAAAAAAAAAGTATGATATTCTCACAGACATACATGTAGGAAAGGAGCAAATCATATCACTCTTTAGGAAAGATACCAAGAATACTGCATTCGAGAATTTAACTTAAACAAGAACACAGCACAAAATATTATAAGCATATAAGTAATGATTTTCCCAAAGCTTATTGCACACAAAAAACTTAAAAATCACACAACAAATGTCTAAATTTTTCTCTGTGTGCACTCAGAGTACATTTTAGAAATGAAATTTTGTGAACTTATTATGTCACAGTTCTCAATAATCTTTCAAGAATTACATATCATTCCAACAAGCTGATATGTCTTATTTAACTATTCCTATTGTAGACCAATTGTGTCTATCTTAACATTTATATAATTCAACACTGTGTTAATTCCTTAGGACAAATTTTAAGGAACAGAATTACTGAATAAATATTTTGATGACTCTTCATCATATATACGTAAAACTAAAATTTTTAAAAGGACTGTACCAATTTACTCTATAAGCTCCTAAATATGATATAGCAGTTTCACAACAATCTTTCAACACTGGCATTTATTATTTAAAACTGTCTTTGTGAATTTACCAGATAAAAATGGCAAGTAGTTTTAATATGCACTTTCTTATACTGCAGTTGGAAGAGATTTCTAAATGAGAGATTAACACTGCATGTCATCATTCCTCAGTTTCTTATCTAAAAAGCAAAACAAAATCATCCTTATAAGCTGGTCCAAGTGCACAACTAGTTACAAATCTCTTTGTTCCTTCTCTACTTCCACTGCTTCACTTGACTAGCCTTAAAATTTTTTTTTAGTTATTTGTATAGCATATATATCCAATTACAAGGCAAAGTTTTCCTCTCAAAAATTTAATCTCTTGGGAAAAGAAAATGGCAAATGCTTCTAAAGGTATGCAATCAGCAAATTTAGAAAAACTACAGATTAAAAGGGATTGAACAAGATGTATCAACCAAATCTATATGTGAATCTTGATGCAAACCTGCCAAAAAAAAAAAAAATTAAAAACAACCAGGGAAATGTGAACATTGATTGTAAAGCTGGTAATAAAGAATAACTGTTAAGTTTTTTAGAGGCATTAACAGTACTGTGATTACATTTTAAAAGAATCCTTATTCTCTACAAATATAATAAAATATTTATAGCTAAAATAATATATCTGCAATGTGCTTAAAATAACCTGGGTTGGGTGAAGAGAAGGTACACAGATAAACAAATGTGGCCATTACTGAGATAACTACTGAAGTTTTTCTCTGGTGTATGTAGTATGGGGGGGGGACGACACACACACTCAATTATTTTAAACCACAAAGTACTAAATGGGGAAAAGCACAATAGCCTGAAACAACCTCAAACAATGCTTAAAAAGAACACCCTGCAGTGTCAGAAAAATGCAAAAGGCCCAGATGATTTTATAGTTTAGTTCTACCAAAAACTGGTTAATAATTATATTCAACTGTACCCAACTTTTTTTTTTAAGTTCAGGAACTACTGAAATACAAAACTTTTTTAAAAAAAAGTTCAGAAACATTGGAATACAAGGAAAAAATAGTGTCCTCTGAGCAATTATTAACAAGAATATTATTTTGAGTAATTTCTTTCAAAATTTGACTTTTGAACTGTGGCAAACATGATCAAAAAGGCAGGTTATGTTTCAAAAAGTCTGATCTTTTGTAGAAAATTGTACTCTTGAACTATAACAAAGAAAACTGGCTAGTTTTTGAAAAACAAACATAGAAACAGAAAACAGACACATTAGTGCATTTGGTCACATCATTCATCTTCCACAGAATCATATTTTTAAAACTCACATCCCTTACCTGTTCCAATATCCAGAATTATTATCAAAATCCTGAGGCACAATATTAGAAAGGTAAAAGGTTTCAGCCATGGCTTTCTGTCAAGAAAGAGAAAAATAGTAACTTGCATGAACAGACACAGAAAATCGGTTCCTTATCCATACATTAGCTCTAAATAATTAGTGACTAATTGTTAGATAAATGAAAGGTATAGCTATTCCGAAACAGAAAGCTCTTATAATGAGTATTCAAAATAAAGTAAGTAGTTTGGTGTGCTTAACTTTATTCTTTATAAAATCCAAACCTATAATGTAAACTAAGAACTAAAAATTTCCAGTATAAAATTTTTAGAGTAAATTCTGGTTTTAAGCCTCTGGCAAAGTTTCTCAACAAAGGCCAACTTCCAGAAATTTTATTCAAGTGATATAGTATAAATACAAACACATTAGTTAAAAAAATAGACAAAAATTCTTTTTTTTTTTTTTTTTTTGAGTCAGCATCTCTCTGCTGCCCAGGCTATAATGCAGTGGCCCAATCATGGTTACTGTCTCGGCCCGCTGGGCTCAGGCGATCCTTCCACCTCAGCCTTCCAAGTAGCTGGAACTACAGGAGCACACCACCACACCCAGCCTATTTTATTTATCATAGAGATGAGGTTTCAACAAGTTGCCCAAGCTGGTCTCAAACTCTTGGGCTCAGGCAATCCTCTTGCCTCAGTCTCCCAAAGTGCTGAGATTACAGGTGTGAGTTACTGCTTCTGACCACTACATGTTCATTCACTTTACACTTGACTCACATATACAAGGCATAAAAGGTTCCACCTCATCGTTTATCTTTTCATTGCTCTACACTAACTGCTGATGCCACAATTACCTTCTCTTCAAGTAGTGACTCTCAAGTTTGGGTACACACTGGAATAACATAGGGAGCTTTAAAAATATTCATGCCTGGGTCACATCCCCAAGAGTTTCTGATTTAATAAGTCTGGGGTATAGATTTCAGCATTGGGACTTTTGAAAACTTTCCCCAGATGATTATAATGAATACCCAAGGTTGAGAACCACTATCTTAATGATGATAATCACTAATAGTTCATAAAATAAATGCCAATATTGTGAAAGATGCTCCTCTTCCTTTATGGCAAGGAAATCACTCTAGGTTAAAGGAAACTAAAGAGATATGACAACTAAATGTAATGTGTGATTCGTGACTGGATACTGAATCAAAAAAAGCTGTAAAAGAGATAAATGGAGTGACTTGGAAAATCTAAAGATAAACTGTATGTTAGATATTATTGCACAAATATACAAAATATATCTGTGGATACTTCTTGATACAATGATACCCTTATATACATGATACTTACATACACAAATATCCTCATTCTTAGATGGTGCATGCTCTTCAGTAATTCATTTAGGAATGAAGCGTTAAGCCGGGCTCAGTGGCTCAGCCTGTAATCCCACGCCTTTGGGAGGCTGAGGTGAGTGGATTGCCTGAG